GGCCCGAGCAGGGAGCCACAGTGAACCGCCCTGGAAGATGGGGTGCCGCGAGGCTGCCAGCATCAGCTCCTTGGGTGTTGGCCTCCCCCGGCCCCTCAATGGTAGGTGGGCATTGTGGGGAAAGACCTAACTTTGCATGCCAAAATGTGTAAGTGCCCTGGGGTAAATAAGTGTGTCCATGGGGCGGGGGTTGCATTTGCATTCTGCCCCTTGTAGTTGGGGGTTTGGGGGAGAGCCTGAAATATTACCCAGAGCCATGGAGCGAGCAGACTCTGCCTGGGCACCCCCCACTCAAAATGGTTGTGCCCACAAGGTACCCCCCCCCCCCAGGGTCATGTCCAGCCCTTGTATTAGGGAGCCCTGAAGTAGCCCCCGGGCCCTCTGCGTGCATGGCCATCCTGGCCAGTGCCCGAGACGGGGGGTGGGGGTGGAAGGCCTCTTTGTTTGGCAGGTGGTCTGGGACCTTGGCGGACCTTCCCCAGGCAGCCTGTCCCCATCTTGTCTCTGCGATGATGTGCCGGCCAGGCTGGCCCCCCGCATGTGCGTCTCCCTGGCCCGCGGGCTGCTTCTGCTGAGTTGCTGCTCACGGCCTGCCTGTCCCTCTGCTCTCTGTCTTCCTCCTTTGGTTCGGCTTCTCGGCCCCCCTTTCCCCCCAACTGGCCTGCTGCTGTCACAGCCAACCACCTCTCTCTGCAAGCCCTGAAGTGGCGGGAGTATCGGCGAAGGAACCCGTTGGGGCTGGACCGCGTCTCGGACCTGGCAGGGCTGACCGGCAACCTGGACTGGACGCAGCCGGAGAGCAAGCTCCCCTGGAGGAACCCTCTGCTTGAGATCCCGGGGGCCTTGCACGGGGGCCGCGCCAGCCTCAGACTCCACGGTGCGCCTTGGCCGTTGCGGGCCTCCCCTTCCTGGATTCTCTTGGCTGGTCGGCCAGCCAGCCCAGGAGAAAGGTTTCTGATTGGCCAGGAGGCAAAGGGGACCACAGGTTTGACTCGTGGCTCTCCGGAAGGTGGGGCTGCCTGGCCTTCGGCTCTGCAAGAGGCCCCTGCCGGCTGGAGCGCCCTTGTCCTTCTGCGCGAGCTCCTCCAAATGCTCAGGGTGGACAGCTGAGGCTCAGGCTGAAAAAGCAGCTCATGGCGACTCACGAGCGTCGAAGCTGGTGGCCTTCAGATGCTTTTACAGCTCCATGGGCTGAGGGCTGGAAGTCAGGACTCTGAACTGGGCGGCCTCCTCTTGGCCCTCAGACACGGGACCCTCCTGGCTGGCATCTGCAGGCCCAGCCACTGGTTCTGCAGGGCTGGCGTTAGTGTGCAGCAGGGAGCAAGGCCCTCTTTTGCCCAGCAAGCCTTGGGGATTACCCGGGCTCCAACCTCTGTGGCCTTTTTGGTGCTGGCAAGCCCAGCAGGTCGTAGGACCGGGCATCCTAGGAGGGTGGGCA